TCATTGGCCCTAAATATCATGAAAGATAGGTCCTGATGCTGACAACAGAATTTGTCTCATTTCTTTTATTTCCAGCTCATTTTGTGTTTTCCAAATTAGATGAACTCTCAAGCAATTAGTAACAGTTGATTCTGATAGGCCCAGATTGCACACCCTTCTACCAGCGCCACATCAGCACAGTGAGAGTGATAACCCGAAGCGCTTCCTTGTTCACACGTTCGGCCCTGAGTGGATGGTAGGAGTTCTGAAATCCAAACAGGATCAAGAAAATCAATCACGGGAAGGTCACTCAGGGTAATAAACAAGAGCAACCACATGGATCAAAGTTCTCGTACTGTGTGTATGTCCTATGAGAAGCTCTTTATCCACTGAATGCTATAATTCTCAGAACAATTCTAAGACATGGGAATTGTAGTCCCCGTTTAGTATACTTAGTCTACATATACTGTGGGAAAATGGTATGCGAGCGGAACTCTTAACCACTTCATTACACAGCCAGGAGTGGCAGAGGTAGGGCTACATCCCAGGCCTTGAATTTTCTCTTTCATTATTATGACATTTCTGAGAGAAGTGAGAAAACAGTAAATATCGGCTAAGTATACTAAACAAGTAGCAAAACTGGATTCAAATCCCTTTCTGTCTGCTTAGCAAGTGCATGCTGTTTCTAGTTCCCCTTCAGAAGAAACAGTATGAAATTTCTTTTCTGGGATTAAAAGGAAAACACACATTAACGTAGGCTGCTACGACATTCCAGCATACAATAATCAGGATGGAAGTTTCAAAATAGGTTTTGACGGTTTCACCATAGAATACCACGGCATAACCTTGCTTGGGTCCTATATAGGCCAGAACCCAGTTAATGTTTCAGAATAAATTCTCTTTGAGGAGAACAAATGAAACATCTATTTATTTTATTCTGCAGATATGGAGTTCAAAGTAATCACAGTTTAAATTAATCATATATACAATATACATGTTTAAAAAGTGGTTAATATGATAACTGACTACAGATAGCAGCATGTCATTTTTTAGGGGAAAAAAAAAACTTTACATGATATTTATAATTAATTTGAGGTATGTCTTTTCAGGAAAGGGTTATTCAAAAGCACAGTGTTAGAGCACAACCAATCCAAATAGGGCTGGCCTTAAATCTTGTCCTGCACCTGGAGGCCTTCATCGTCAGTTCATGTGTCCCAGCACTTTCAATTATCAAAAGATCCATCCTAGTGCCGTATATTTTAAGCACAGTTGAAGAATAGTGGAGCAAAAAAAAAAAAGCCTTTCAACCATGGGAATTTAAAAGCAAAGGGCCCTGAAGAGGCGATTTCAAAACCCTACTCATTCAGTTCACTCTAAAGCTTAATGACATGCCCTATTTGATACAGTTAGGGGAACTCTTTCATCAAAAACTTTATATGAGACTGGGAATTGCAATACTGGGTTTGTAGGTTTGCTCCCTTGGTCATACTGCAAGGTCCTGAAGCAATTCTAGTTTATCTTTTAAAAGCAAGTAGAATTAGGGATAATGATAAATGGTATACTAATGACTACTACTATGTTTATGTGTTTGAGAACTTCCTATAGGCTGTGCTTTTTGTATTTTGCATTCTTTGTGTTTTATTTGGTCCCATCCTTTGAAATAGATATTAACATTCCATTTTATAGGTGATGAAAATGAGTTCTTCAGAGGTGAAATAACTCACTGTGTTTGCACAAGTATTTGGCAGAGCCACGAATCAAACCCAGGTCTCTGCCTATAAAGACTGATCTCTTAACCACTTCATTACACAGCCAGGACTGACAGAAGTGGGGCTGGATCCAGGTCTTGAATTTGCTCTTTTATTTTTATCACATTTTTAAGGACAGCAAAGCAATGTAGATGAAGGACTTGGTTTCTCAGGAGTCCCAAAATATGTGAAACAGGTCAGCCCTCTGGTTCCACCTGAATTGGGGTACTAACAAGGACTCAGGACCCACTCCCATGAGTCCCTCTTCCTCTCCTGTTGCAGAATAGCAGATGAGAGGATCTAGGCAGCCTCAGTTTACCCAATGTAATCAATCTCAGGCTTAATGAGAAGAAAAGGGCCTGGAAAAGTTTAGAAAACGGAGACAAACCAAATGATTTTTCTCCTGTGTGCATGGGTGTGGACACTCCCAGCTCTCTCATCCAGGAGAACTGCCATTTCCTCCAACAGATGACATGATTTACCAGACTGATTAAGATGAAATCAACATCTAAGAACAAGAGTGTGCATTTTCTAAAGATCACTGGATAGTACTAAGGTGTTTTGCTGGTCAGATTTCATCTGCCCTTCTGTGTCCCAGCCTTTTGACCTTTCAAGCCCAACTCTATGGTTCTGTTCCTCTTTCCCAGGCCAGAGTTATCTTTATTGATAAAACATATAATTATTTACAAAAGCATGGCCACACAGTATGGATGGAGAGCTTGCCCTCTAGTTGACATAAACTATTTTTCTAAAAAACTACTGAACTCTCTCAAATTCTACATGCTTTACTTCAAAAGCTCCAGTCATTGGAGGATGAAAAGTTGCCATAACCCAGAATTTTTGACAGTATTGTGAAGGGGAGATGGGGTCGTAAATGTGTTTCTAATGATCTAATAGTACTATATTCTTGAATGTCTCCAAGGCACCTAAGACCAGCTTTTCCCAACCTGACCTCATATTCTTCCTACACAAACCTCATGTGAACCCAATTTTTCCTCATGTGAACCCGGTTACAATGATTGACATCCCAATCCACCTGCTCATCTAATGTGGTATCACCAGCCATCTCCATCCTTCCTCTCTTCCCCACTACCCCACACAGTCTGACACGGAGTGATGCTGAATATACCTCAGAAATCTCTCTCAACCATTCTTTCCCTTCAATTCTCACTCCTTTGCTAAATTTAGAACTAGCTAATCTCTTATCATGACTAATAAGATAAACTAACTACTCTGCCTCCAGTTTCTTCCCCACCTACACTATCTCCCATCCTCCACCCTGTTACCAGATCTTATCTTGTCATGCTTTTGCTTAAATATCTTCAGTGGCTCCTCACTGACTACAGGAAAAAGTCTGAGTTCAGTGTGACATTCACATTTCTTGACAAGATCCTTCTACTTTACAGTATTTCCTCTCCCCAACTCTTTTCATCCTTTCCCAATTCAAACATACACATTCATGGTCAATGTCTTCGGTCACACTGGGTTTCTTACTGTTTCCCTAAATTTTAAGGACTTTTGTATCTTCTTGCCTTTTATATTTTGTTTTTGTTCTTGTTCTTGTTTGGAGACAGAGTTTGGCTCTGTCGCCCAGGGTGGAGTGCAGTGACATGATGTCTGCTACATCAACCTCCGCCTCTCAGGTTCAAGCGATTCTTCTGCCTCAGCCTCTCAAGTAGTAGGGATTACAGGCAGCCGCCACCACGCCCTGCTAATTTTTGTATTTTTAGTAGAGATGGGGTTTCACCATGTTGGCCAGGCTGGTCTCGAACTCCTGACCTCGGGTGATCTGCCCGCCTGTTTCCCAAAGTGTTGGGATTACATGTGTGAGCCACCGAGAGTGTCTCATTAAAGTGGAATTTCCTCCTTGGAGTACTTGAGCATCCATTAATCCTTCAAAGGACAATCATGTCTCATTCCAATCTTGCTCCACCTACGCCCCAAGACAATTCATCACACCGTCATAACACCTATCTGTAATGTATTATGGTTGTGTGTGTGTGTGTGTGCGTGTGTGTCTCCCACTTCTCCTATTTCCAGAATTTGAGCTCCAGATTCCAAACTTGTATTTGTCTTGGTATTTTCATTTCCTTGCTCAGTGAATACTCAGTAAATGGTCAATAAGTATTGCTGAATGAATGCACAAACTAATGAACCACATTTGAGCAAGGCTTATTGTGAGTAGATCCCAGACAATGCTATGAAGATATTAGAATATTATATTAATTATATAATAATTTAAACCAAGACACAGGGAACAAAAAGCAGAGACTAAGGATAGAAAAGATACTTAAACTCTCTAGGATGTTAAACAGATTTCATTTGTAATAGATTGGTTTGGTAACGTGGGGATGAGTCCTAGAGAAAGCTAAATGAGAAGGTAAAAGAGTTTTCTCCTGATTTACTCTGACAGAAATACGTCTTTGAAAAAAATCAGTTTAAAAATTCAAACAGTAATTGCTTTCTGTCTTTAATATTTCTATGCAACTCAGTCCCAGTTTCATGTTACCCATTGTTAAACTGATAGAGTTTGGGTTTGCTAAAGAGTGTTTTGCAAACACATCGGGATTAACATTAATCAAACCACTGTGTAAAAATACCAACTTTGAGAGCCCAGGATCCAGCTCCCTTTGACAGGGCTCTACCTGCCGCTTTCTGTTGCTAGATGCTTGGAGTCAGCGTTAAGCGCATGCGCCTTTACAACCATTCAATTGCCATGTCGAATCCGAATCAGTGATTCCTGTGGAAACCTCTGGGCGAAACCAGCGTGTCACAGTCCCTCCTCTGTCTCAAGAATTTTTCCCACAAGACCCAACTAATTTAATTTGTTTCCTTTCCCCAAACAACCAAACGAAACAAAACTGTAAAACAACCATTTCTTCAGTCCCAAATCAGAACTTCTGGCAAGGGAGGAAAGAGATCATGAATAATACGTGGCTATAGCTCTAGAATCATTTTACAAATATAAATGTGGGCTCATCTTTTGCCTTTGTTGCTACGTGAATGATCTCAGTCACTGAGATTGAGACTGAGCAAATACAGCAGATATTTCATGCCAAATTTTCTGACTGTAGACTTTAGATGCTAGATATATGATCACTTGCAAATGATTTGAGAATAAGAAAATCTTTCTTTTAATACCTTGGTCTTTTTACAGTACTGAGTGGTACCAGCTTGCTCTGGTTGGTCTTCATTCCTGGGTAGTTCCATTGTCCTGAATATTTATTTGCCTTTGCTGTAGAATGCGCATCCCAATGATTTCAATCTTTCCAGTTGGCAGATGACTTGATCTCGGACATTTTCACCGCTATTGGCTCAGTGACCCTCGCCTTGTTACTGATCCTCTTGCTGGCCATTGTTGCTTCTGTTGTCACCTCCAACAAAAGGGCAACTCAGGGAACCTACAGCCCCAGCCGTCAGGAGAAGGAGGGCTCCCGAGTGGAAATGTGGAACTTGATGCCGCCCCCTGCGATGGAGAGACTGATTTAAGAGCATTCTGTCCCTTCAAGATAGGGATCCACACACTGTGAATGTGATGACTGTACTTCAGTGGTCTCTGACATACCTGACGATGTTAATCTGCAACCGGGATTACACTGGAACTACAGGAATGATTCCTTTAACCACCTTAAAGACTTTCACAGTGGTTCCACTCGACACCATTGTTTTATTATGTTATATCACCCAATCACGAAAAAAGTCTGTGCCAGTAATTTCAGCCTTATAATTAGCAAAAACATCTTCCAGAGAATGAAGTCTTCTGAGCAAAGCTCCAGTGTCTATCACTGAAACTCTTTCCTCCTTTCAACCTGGGGACAACTTTTAGTTTTCATTTTAGGTTTCTGTACTTTCTGTAGTTTCTGTGTAAACATATGGCAGTTTACACAGAAACTGTAGTTTCTGCCATATGTTTACACAGAAACTACAATAAAAAATTGGCTACATTTCTCACTTCTCCTATCATGTGGTCAAAGGTTATTGTTGTATACCAGCGATGGGATACTCCTGTATACTTTTGTCGTTCATTCATGGATTCAGAGAAAGCCATGGGAATGACCTGTGGTTCAAAAAAGTGACCCAATGGCAACAAATAAAAATCAAAATCTGGTTGTTCTCCTTTCTGAGTACTTTTTGCATTTTTGTGACATTACGTGTGACAAAAGTAACCTCTAGGAACATTTGAAGAACCTGTTTATGAATTAGATCTTTTAACTAAATCATCTCAAGTTGGTTACATTTTAAAATTATTACTCTTTGAAAAGGGTTGGTTAAGTCAAAATGCTTCCTAGATAGAAATCAAAACAGGAGGAAAACTCATATTCTCAAGTTCGAAAAATCAAGTTCTTTTCTTCCAACTGCTTTTAGGTAAACCAGTGCCAAACAGTGACACTGTCTAAAGGTAAGAACTCCAAAGTTAAATGTGTGCACTTTAAGGAGAATGTGTATAAGACTATGGGGTGTTTGGAGAAAATGCTGGGGCTTCTATTTTTATATTTTTTTCTACAAAGCATCTGGTTATACTTTTATATGTGCTTTGAAATATATGAAACATGCTACTCTTGTAGAATATAAATAAAATTTAAGAATAGATGCCTATATATTCTGGGTATATGCTCAACATGTCTAATGACATGAATTTTTAAGTCTGGTCTAGAAGAATCCATCCATCTCAACTATTCAAGGATATCATTACAGCAACTTCCCTTCTCTTCTACGTCATCAGTTTTCCCATTGTCCTGGGGCATCCCTATCAGCACCAAACATGCTGTCATATTTCCTATCATAAAAAAGTTATCTCCTGTGGCCCTCATCTCCCTCCAGTAACCACCCCATTCCTCAACCCCTCTTTTCAGCAAAACATCTACAAAGGAGTTTTCTGTATTTTCGGTTTCCCTTTCCTTTTCTCTCATCCTCTCTTGAACTTAAACTAATTTGGCTTTTCTCATCACCGCTCCATGATCTCCACATGGTCAAACACAATGTCCAGTCCTCAGTCCTCAGCTTACCTGACCTCTCTGAAGCATTTGAAAGAATTGTCACTCCTCTTGAAATATTTTCCACACAATGGGACACCATTTCATCTTGATTTTCTTCTTAACCTCACTGTCTATCCCCTCTCCATCTCTTTTGATAGTTTCTCCTCATTTCCTTAAACTCTGCTTTATTTTTTTCCATGCTGTTTATCACCCCCTGAGAGGTTGCGTATTTTGTTGTTGTCGTTGTTCTCTATTTTCTCTATCTAGAATTTAGGTTATATGAGGATAAGAACTATTTTTTTTTTTTTTTACTCCAGTATCTCTCACCTAGAACAGGCCTAACCCATAGGGAAAACACAATAACTATTTTCTGGATAAATTAACAAATAATGAATGAATGGTGCTCAAATTTGTACCTGCCACCAGAGAAATCTGAAAGTTCCCAAGATTTGTGTGGGCTGTCACTGGATGCACTGGTCATGAAACTATCATGGCTCTGTAGCCTATCTAATGTCTTACTCAATCTCAGGCTTTTTTATCCATATCCAATATTGCTTTAAGTGTAAGTTCAAGAAGAAGCATGTCTCCAGTGTCTACCTGTGAAGTATACCATGAGCTATATTTATTTTTGCATTTCATTTGATACAACTTCTTAATAGAAGTTCATATGGAAAAGAAAAGAAAGAGCTCATGCTTGAAAAAATAAGTAGCTGAGTTAAACACACACACACACATACACACACATACAAACTAAAAAGATCACAGGATATAAAATGGTTCTATTGGCTTAATTAATCTGAGTATTTGCTGTATTCCAGTATCTAGCTTAGAGCTTTGCATAGGAATGTATGTCCAAATACATGGATAAGTGAGTGCATGCAGGCATGAATAAATGAGTGATTCTTTCCATGTGGACACTCAAGTACACGGACATTTACAGGCTGCCCCAGCAAGCCAGATCTCTTTATCTTTGAAAAAGCTAAATATTCAATATCTAACATCAAGAATGCTTCCAAATTGGCCCCATGAAGTATTTGTACTGAACTATCTTTAACAATGTAGACCTTGTTTTAGTGAAAAAGTATAGTATCTGCATAATCAATGATGGTGCAGCTTTTTAATTGAGTGCATTTTCAAAATTTGTGTTAGGATTGGTTTCAAAGACCACAACAAAACACCACAGCAATTCCTCTCATGCTTATTTACAATGTGACATTGCCACCCCTCCCACCAAGAGGAATCTGTTTGCCTTCCCTTTGAATCAGGGCTGGCCTTGTGATTTGCTGTGGCTAACGTAATGCCATGGAAATGGTGCTCTGCCAGACATAAGAGGCTTGCAGCTTCTGTTTTCGCTCTCCTGGAAGGCGACCCTCAGACTGCCATACTGTGAAGAAGCTTGGAATGAAAATAACATGTCAAAAGAGAGTCCCAGCCAAGCCAGGTGTCCCTGCTGAACCCGGCCTTAGTCACCGTGCCTGCTGGTTGCAATTACTTAGTGACCCACATGAGAACAGCAAAGGAACCACCAGCTCAATCCACAAAATCATGAGAAACAGTACGTTGTTTTAAGCCATTAGGGTTTAGAGTGATTTGTTACATAGTAATAGAGAAATGAAACACAATTATTCACATCAATGAGGCAACCTAAGGAATACGGCAATATGAGGTACTTCTTTGATTCTGATTTCTTTGCTTTTAGAACTGCTGCTCTGGGAACTGGTGGACTGTACAGTGTTTGTTTGCAGAGCAACAATAACTAGTGCATTATGAATAAAATATGACACCTATATGTCAGATTTCTCTCAGGATGGCAAATAAGGGTGAAGAGTCATTTAATCCAAATGCAGGTCCAGAAGGCGCTGAGGGTCATAGTCCTTCTAGCGCAGCTGTTTGCAGGGTTTGGGGCATGGTGTAAAGTGGACACAGCCGGCCTACTTCCTGCCCTAGGGTGAACCCTGGCCCAAGGTAGCCAATGTAAAAGGCACACATCTGGTGTGAGTTTACAAGGAATGACAGGAAGCCTCCTTCAAGTGGACTCTCATGTGGCTTCTGTAGTCACAGTGAGTGCAAAGACAAGCAGGAAATAACAAATGACTGTGACTTAAATCAGCTGTCAAGACTTCCCCTATTTTATTCCTAAATTACCACCGCTTAATAGATCCTCTTATTTGAGACTGAGACAGGCATGGTCCCACAGTCTGGCCCCGTGTAGCCATAATTGTTATTATCATTACCAATTAGTATTATCTGCAGTAATTGAAGAGTAACAGTAATAGGGAATAGAGGTAGAACTAGAAGGCATCATAGCAATGATAATAATGATTACTATAACAACAATGAGAGATCCTTTACTGAGCCCTCGCTAGAGGCCAAGACTATCTTAAGCTTGCTGCACTAAATGCATTATGTCTCATTTAGACCTCATAACAGCCTTTGAGGGTGAAACTTTTATCTTCATTTCACGAGCCTTTGCAGACAAAGAAACATAGTTTTAAATTTCTGAAATGCCCCATTCAGGTGATCTGAGCTTAATCTGAAAACTGGGAATCACACCTGTATTGCACTGGCACATCATGATAACATTATTGGAAAATGCTTAACTGCAAGTAAGCACACAATACATAGCATCCATAGCATCTATGATTACTATTCAGATGAGATGAAGTGTTAGTAGGACAAATGACAAGCAGTAGTCATGTTTAAATGGTTTCCACACTCCCACCTCCTGCTTTATCTGCCAGACAAACCAAATAGGTAACTACTTTCCTCCTATCCTCCTTCCCATTTATAATGTGTTTGTAAAATAAGCAGGTTTTGTGCAGAGAAAGATAATTTTTTCATGTCATTCCCATAACTCTGAATTGCCGCATGATGGTGGCCCCATCCAACTAAAGAATTTAATTCATCTGTAAGAATAAAATAAATGGTACACACCAGTTGTATGTCCTCAATGAAATTGTCAGAAATAAATCAAAAGGTCTCAGGTCTCTCAGACCTCCAAACAACTAATGATAGAGGGTTTTTTTTTTTTTTTTTTTTGGTTGTACATTGTAGAGATGACTTTATTATTATGGCTTTCTTGGCCCTTTTAGGGTTACTCCTTAAACCACTTTTGATAGAAAATCACCATCATCTTTTTTCATTAACAGCAAGAAATATTGGCCCATGTATCTTGATTTAAATCATCCTTCTGATAATGATTAGCTAGCCAACTTTCAACCTGGTTTTAGACTCTGCAGGGGCATATCTGGAGTGAATATGACTTTTCAAGTTTCATCCTGCTTTCAGCAAAAGTGGAGTTTTTACTGCTGTGCATAGTGATGACAAAAATGCATGTTTCCCATTTAAACCGATTATCCTATGATTTGGTACCCAGGCTTTGCTTTACATGGTTCCAGAAACCTGGGAATAGCATCTGTCTAATATATTTGGCAGTGCCTGCCTGAGCACAGCTGCTTTAATCACCAATCACAGGGTCTCCTAGGATGGGAGGCAACAATCTCCCCTTGAAAACTGCTCCCAAATCCAGATCTTTCAGTTTGAAGTGGAGCATCTTTTAGAGGTGCTCATGGTTTGCAGCTTGAGGCTCCTGGCTCAAAATTGAGTGCATTCATGGCTGAAATAAGGGAAACTGAATGGAAGCAAATATAGGTGTTATGAAAAGTCCCTACAGTATAGGAGCTCCTGGACCCCATTTTGACTCAATCCTTCATGTCAAAGATTTGGCTTCAGCATGAATTAATTTATTCAGCTACATGCTCAACATCCAGCTTTGTATGGTTGCAAAAGTCTTTTACCATATGAGGCAGGTGGTCCACAAGACAACTTCTAGGTTAGCTTTCCCATACAGAGATCATTCAAAAACTCTATTTTTCAAGGTCAGTCCCATTTTCTAATGCCCACTTTAAATAAAGAAATTGCTCTACATTTGAATCACTTGGGGATTTTTTTTTTTTTTTTTTGTAAAATATAAATAACTAGCACTAACCACCTGGAGTAGTTTAATTTGAAAATATTTTTTGCATAAAGAAAAATTAAGTTAAGCTGAACTTTACCTTAATTAAAGGTTAAAAATCATAATAAAAGTTTTCTTTTATTGGGTTTCCAAAGTCATTAGGTTTTCCAGGTCCAGAATATAGATAT